CCCCAAAACCCCAAAACCCCAAAACCCCAAAACCCCTCAATAAATTAGCTTGATAATAAAGGAGAAATGATCTATATTCATTAAATTTAAAATTAAGAAAAATGCTAAATTAACAACAGCTATAGAATTCTCTCCAAAGATAATAATACCAGCAGCAATAATATCAGCAACACTCTCAATTTTAATAGTAGCAACCTTATTAGTAGAGACCTTAGATTTAGAATACAAACTATTCAAATAGTCCCTTAAATGTCAAAGTTTCTAATATAAACTCCTTATTTAATCCTAGCGGTGTGATGACCCCACAAAGTAATCAAAAGTCAAACTATGCTGGCGGAGGAATGTAATAATACTCAAACAACACTCCAGGATTGCAACTTCAACAGAATTCTTACCTCGCAACTCAGCATCAATAGCTTTTAAATGCTCATCAATAGTATCATAACTAGCAACTTTAAGGTGCTGTAAATTAAATCTAAAGAGGTAAAATTGAATTTGACTTAATTTTTTTCTCATTTAGTTGATGGAAACCACAGTAGATCGTCTACATCTTCAAACAATTCTTATGCTTAGTAAATGTAGCAACTTAGCTTAAATCAACAGAGTCAAATTCAAAAATCCTTTAATATGGGTCAAATCTAGTCTGAAGCTAATCCAATCTTCGAGAGAACTGATTTACTAGTTAGACCACCAAATGTTTACCGACAGGTAAAAATAAATGATAATTTAAAAACCCATTATAGACACTGGATGTTGATAACTTAATATCTGTTTGCACTAAAAAGCTCCAAGAGGATCAAACTCACAAAAAAGCTTTGTTTATCAGAGCCTCTTCATACTTAAAGAAAGGCAGATTTGCAGAAGCTATTTAAGACTGTAACTCACTGATGAAACTTGACCCTATGAATGCTGGAGCATATTATATAAGAGGCTGTGCCTTTGAAAAGCTCGGCTAAATTGATCAGAGTATAGATGATTTTACAACAGTTCTTGAAATTGATCCAAATCATATTAATGCTGCCTATGCTAGAGGTGCATGCGAAAATAAAAGAGGAAATTTCGCAAAGGCTATTGATGATTACAATATGGCACTCGAAAAAGATTAAGAAAGACCAACTTCTCCAGGTGGAAGCAGAAGAATCGTGTTTAGAAATATGAAATACATTTTAGATATGCCAGTTACAAGGGCAAACACAGATTTATAATCATATCATGGTTCAGCTAGCAAAAGGGATGATCTTAATATCTATGGCAACGGAACAGGAAATTTCAATTCATCTGGAAATTCAAGCAATGTCTTAAATCAAATAAACAACAATCTTCCTCCAAGGTAAAATAATGCCTAAGAGAAATCAAATAAAAATGGAATGCTTTATGCAAATTAAGACAGCCCAGCATAGGCAAACAATGCATTTAATCATAACAAGCATCAGTCTTTATTGTCTCCAGGGTCATAATCTCAAAATAGGGGTTAAAGCAACTAAAATGTTGGAGCTAATTAAGGGAATTAGTTCAACAATTATGGAGGTGACATGATGTCTATGATGAGATAAGCCCACAACGACTCATTGAATTCAAGTATTGATTCTAGAAGGCCAACTTAAAATAGCCAATAATAAAGAATGCCACCTATAGGTTACTAAGGATAAAGAATAGGTTCTATGAATTCCTCAATAGATTTCAAACAATAAAATGTAAGCAATTCATAAGTTCAATCCAAGCCAATGAGCATCCCTTAAACACCATCATCTCAAGCATAAAATTAAAACGGCCCAGATTAATAATAGAAAAAATAGTAGGCAGAAGTGTTCCATTCTTAAGGATACGCCGCAAGAAAGAAGGGTGACTATAATTCTGCGATTGATTATTATAGTAAGGCATTAGAAATCATGCCAAATCATTTTAAGGCTCTCTTCAACAGAGGGTTTGCTTATGATAAGATCGGGGAGTTTGATCTTGCGATTTCTGATTACTCTTCAGCTATCTCAATTGATCCAAATAATGCATTCACTTACTACAATAAAGGTATTAGTCTTGATAGAAAAGGTGATTTTGATGAGGCTATAAAAAGCTTTTCCAAAGCTATTGAACTAGAGCCAGGCAAAGCTGATTTTTATCACAATAGAGGATTTGCATTTAGAAAGAAGAGGGACTTTTTAAGTGCAATAAAAGATTATACTACCGCAATTTCTATTGATTCATAACACTTCAAAGCATATTATAACAGAGCCTTTTGTTGGGACAAAGTTGGAAAACTTGAAGAGGCTGAAAAAGATTATATACAAGCTATTAAAATGCAGCCTCAAAACATTTCTGCACTACACCACCTCGGTACAATCAGAGAAAAGATGGGTGGTGACAGATTAAGTTTAGCTCTTGAAAATTTCAATGAGGTGCTAGAACTTGATAAAGCTTATGCTCCATCTTATAATGGCAGAGGATTGGTTTGGGATAGATTCTTTAACTTTGAAGAAGCAATAAATGATTTTACTAAAGCAATTGATCTTGATGGGTCAAATGCAGTCTATTGGCACAATAGAGCATGTTGCTTTAGAAATATGGGATAAATGGATAAATCAATCAAAGATTTTGATAGGGCGATTGAGCTTGACTAATCGAATTCAATAATTTATTCTAACAGAGGATTAGTAAACAGAAAACTTGAAAGATTTGAGAAGTCTATCGAAGATTATACAAATGAAATTAAATTCGGCCCTCCTAATAACATCAAGGCATTCAATAACAGAGCTTATTGTTTCGCCAAACTTGGTTAGTATAATGAAGCAATTAGAGACTACTCAAGAGTAATTTAATTAGATGGGGAAAACATTCATGCTCTTCATAATAGAGGTATCTCATACGAAAGACTAAGCCAATACAAAGAAGCAATCAAAGACTTCACAAGAGTCATTGAAATAGATCCAGATAATGCTAACGCCTACTTTAACAGAGGTTGCTGCTATGATAGCGTGGGAGAACTTGATTTGGCTATAAGTGATTATAGTGTGGCTTTAGAACTTGATATGCGCAACGGAGGTAATGGAGAGAATGAGGGTAAAGATGGATTCACCAACGAAGAGGACGAGGAGGATTCCCATAATCAAAACTAATGAACACTAAACTAAATATATGTTAGTCTTATTTTCTTTATTTGGAAGTTTTTCCCATCAATGATATTCTCTCTTTCGGGGTTTTGGGGTTTTGGGGTTTTGGGGTTTTGGGG